ATATACGAGTGATAGGATATATATCATATATACTTCATATCACTCATGTATTAACCTTAAATTGTGATGCATTGCTATATTGGTGAAGTTATAATGTACCTGAGCTTAAGAAGAACACTTGAAATTTTGAGTATCCCAAAAATTCCGATTTCACAGAAAGGCAAACTGATGAGATTTTAGTGGAGATATTCTCTCCCAGTCACCCAAACTCCTCTCACTTTCACACATACATGTTAGGAAATCATAAATCCTGCTAGAACAGCAATCTTGCAGTTACAGAAAACAAGATCTTGGGAAACTATCTGACAAGGTCTTCTGGCATTGACCGTTTTGTTATTTTGCATTCTCTCTCTGTGTGTGTGTGTGTTTCTTATGTAGATTATTTTTGGTTTATCATGAGGTATACAACATAGCCAATACAATTTGTGCAAAACAGGTCATTTTCACTTATTCAACTTATCAGAATTTTAAAACCTTAGTTTAGTATTATTTTTTAATATAGACAATGTGTTAGTGTTTGTTTACAATTTGGGACTTTTGATTTTTCATAAGTTAATTTTTGCATATGGAAAATGTCTTTGTGTAACATGCAAGACAAATCCATTTCCTATAGAAAACCCCATTCATCCTTTCTTTAACCCACTTACTTCACAAAATAAAAAGTGATTGTAACGTATTAACATATAAATGATTATTGTCACAATGCATTAAAATATAACTGACTCATTTCAACTAAGCATAACTAAATCATTTTAAAGGCAAATTTCCTATGACCTTATTTGTCTTTTTTTTTTAAAATATTGTGTGTCTGGTATTTGGATAGCATTTGGATTTACAAGAACCCAAATTATTCTGCATAACATCATACCAGAAGACAGGTTATCCACTCATTAATTTCTTATAAATCAGGCTCTGTAATTCATAATCCAGATAATAGTGTGAATCTGTTACATGCCACATATATTGTACAGTATATATTATAACATACTATGATATATGTAGTCAGCTAATATTTATAAAGATAAAATCAGTAGTTCCAGATAATATAACAATTTTTATGTATTGCCAAAAGAGCAGAATATACTAGTACTAAATGTGTCAAGTAACAATCAAGACACAGAAAGGCAGATTGGCAATGCTCTTTTCCAGTCATGTCACCTTGTAATTCTTTGTTTCTACTATTAAATATTCATTTATTTGTTTAGATATCTATTTAAATTGGATTTCAAAGACTGCCTAATCTTCCCATTGCCACTCAGGGAATGTAGGGAGAAAAGATGACCTTGAAAAAGATATGCAGATATACAGATTAAACAATGGAGGCTGAAGCATTTTTTAAGAGTGAGATAACTTTAGGAGGCAGTTCAGGTAAATGTCCTCCAAATTCACTGGAGTATAAAGAGGAAGAAGTACAATACAACATTACCAATCTAAATAAAAGTATTTGGCTTTGCTGGGGAATCGATTCTCTGTCCTGATCTATCAAGTGGGTTAACAGGAAGGTCTAGGACAACTTTGTACGGCCAGTTCACCACCGCCAGCTTGCCAATGTCAGCTCATCTCAGCCAACTCACCACCACCAATACAACCAATTTGCTGTGGGGCACAACAAATTGACTGTGAGGACAACTCACCATAGGCAGTTGCAGGGAAAGCCGGGCAAGCAAGTGAGCAAGCAGACTGCAGAGCGGTGGCAGCAGCCGGGGGGGGCCGGGGGGGTCCTAACAATGGGAGAGCCAGCTGGCCGAGCAAGTAGACACAGTGCAGCAGCTGGAGGCTTCCCATTTTCACAACTCCTTTCACCACTGTCCTGAGCTTCAGAGTTCCAGTGGTTTAACAGCAGCCGTGGGCGAGGACGTAGCGGAGGCTGAGTGTGTTTCATTTTCAGTCCTAGTGTGAAAATGAGTGTGTCATGGCCTCCGCTGCCTGTTCCACCACTGCTGCCACTCCAAAATGGCCCAAACTCTGAGATTGGTGACAGTTGGGGTATGTGAAAATGGGAAACTCCCAGGCCCCAGCCAACACTGCTCCGCGCTCTGCCCATCTGCTTGCTCATTCACCACCCAAATCTGCTCTGGCTGTGAGTTGTCCCTTTGGTGAATTGAGCATGTTGAGTTGTAATGTGTTAATCACTGAGTTGCAATGATTTGGCAATGGTGAGTTGGCAGAGGCAATTTGGCACTGGTGAACTGGAGGCAGTGAACTGGTTGTGCTGCGCTGGCCACACCGAGTTGCTTCATTCCATAACAGGGAGGCCTATAAACACAGTATAACAATATAGAACCACCTAGAGAATAAACAAAAGTAATATTTAAAAACTCAGATTATACTTGCAAGTTCACATATTACCCTCAGTCTTAAAAGGCTCTCCTGAAGGACAGCAGATTAGGGACCATGGAGAAAATGCCAATATCAAACATACCATAGGTATATAGAACATTTATTTTAAAATGCAAAATCTAAAAAGTTAAATGGGCTTAACAACCAAGAGCATTTCACCACCAATTTCAGTGGTTAAAAATTAAGCTTTGCACACTCCATGAAATTCAGATACTACAACAAAGATCCTTGTTAATAGCAAAAATAGATTAGTACTAAACTGATGCTGATGTGATTTTGCCTAAAATTAAAATTCCCAGAGAAAAAGTAGGATTTCTGATCAAAGCACAAATATCAGATCGGAAAATTCTTGTTACCACTACTTTTTACAAGGCAATGGTGATCTTTTCAGGTGAATATATGAATGGAGATTGTGGATTATTAGCACCTATGTGTCGGGCACATAGCAGATGCAACCATATAAACTATCCAGTATCACTCCTTATGAATGTTAATAACTATATTATTGTGAGCACATACTTTATTATCCTTTGGATTCTGTTTAGAATCTCTCTCTCTCTCTTTCTCTCTCACAAATGCACAACTTTTGCATAAAGAATCATTTAAAAACATAAATGGAGATGTCTGAAAAATCCAATTCATGCCTTGCATTGCTTTAATAAATTGATTTCCGAAAGAATAGTTGTTATAAGGAACTCAAGCAGTCTTGAGAACTATTTTATTAATTTGAGGCCATTTGATTTTCTCAATGGAAAAACAACTAACTGATTTGTGGGAATGTTTCAGTGTCTACGATAACTTCGTATCGTAAAAGTAAATCCAACGGACTTCAGTTTTTAAACTGAAAATTAGATTTGCACAATGTTAAAAACTGAGATTGATGTATACATTCTATACATCAATTTTATTTGATATCTAAATCAGAATACACTATTGGTAATATGGATTGAATTTTTCATATTTTATACTTGGGTGACTTATACTGTGCTGACCATGAGTTTTGTTATTCATGCTTAGCTTGAGTTTAATAGTAACTTTTAGTCTTTTAAAGCAATACAATATGTCCAGCCACTCATAATTAATCTTGTTACATTGGAAAATTATCACCTGCATATTATTTTTAAATCCCTTATCTGTATTTCATGCTTTTATCCCTTGTTCCTTTTAATGTATCATTTTAAAAAACAGTTCATAAATCTCTTTCTCCCCTGAAAAAACTATTAGTATAATTTGGAAGGAGAGAAACTAGTAAGTTGATAATACAAATTATGTATTATAGAAAATGTTTAAGCTATTAATCTGATGAATTTTAAGCTATTCATACTTAGTGTTACAACTTGTCTATGAAATTATCTTTGAATTTAGGGACATAATTATACTAATCATCTATTTATACTATCATTTATTTATCTATCAATGTTATATGTACAGTACTCAGCAATTTACATTTTCAAGATGATCAATGTTAACATTTCAAACAATAAAAATAACAACTGAAAAACACAGGGAGAAAGGAAGATAAAATAAACTACTTGAAAAATAAAGCTAAATAAAAGCTTAATAATAGAACTTGGTGACTTGATGGGTGACTTCCACTCTACAAGTGAAATATTATTACTATAAAAACTGTATATTCACAACGAGTTTTCAGAATGTACTCTTCAACCTTGGATACAAAATAGGTTCTTTTTATTCTTTTCTATATGTTCCTAAAGATGAAAGCAGCCATTTGTATCAGTTTAGTTCCTTATTCAATCAAGCGGCTGTTCCACTCCTTCATGAAGACTTACAGTTGAGCCTACAAGTTTAATTTGATAATTGGTTTTGCTGTTAAGAAGTTTCACTTAATGTCAGACTGGAATTTCTTTTCCAATAATTCAAGAGCATTATTTCAGTCTTGATTTTGAAACAAGAGAGACCAATTTCTGTGATCCCGTTCAGAAACTTCAAGAGTGCTTTCATTTCTTTCCGCTGTCTTCTTCCTAATTCCAAATTTCATTAATGTAATTTGGACTTTTTTCCAGTCCCTTCTATTGAACAGTTTGCATGAATTCGTCTTAAAGTATGATGCCTTGAATTAGACAGGTTATACTCAGGGCAGAACATGATTGACTCAGAACAGAATAGAACCTTGTTTCTTGTGATTTGGAAATTATTTCTTTTTTCTCTTGATAACAAGAAATGGATGTTCAATATTTTTATGTGCACTATAGCACTGGAGGGACTAATCCAGGCAGTTGTCAGGAATCAACACTGACTCGAAGGCACAGAAGCAAACAAGTAAACCAACAATCCTATTCTCATACTATTCTAAGAATATGATAGCAGACAAAAGCAAACAACGAAAATGTACAATAAACAAACCAGAAAAGAAAACCATAAGAATATTAAGGGGCCGTCTGTAATTTATATTCAGCAAAACATCCCATACAACTTACTCCTAGTTATATTTGCATAAGAAATAGCATTTACAAATATAGATATGTAAAAGTACATTCTGGTTTTGATTTAAAAATGTTGAAATTTTGAGATGGAATCATATCCTTTCACAGACCCAGTAACAAAAATCCTATAATGACCAGGAATTAAGTTTACTATATTTCAAGGCTATTTAGGATCAGGATGTTAAGAAATAAACAATTTCTGTCTCTCTTTCTTACCTGGGAGGAAATGAAATGTCCAGTTCATATAATTTGTCTTTAAAGACTGACAGCTCTTTGTCAAATTCCAAAAGCTAATGGAAGAAAAACAAAGATAACATTAAAATAAATACAAGTTCTGTTCTGCTTAAAAATAAAAATAGTTGAGAACATATGACTTTGAGATTTTGCTAGTGCCATACTTCATTATTTCATGGCACATAAAAAAGCATTTTAAAATATTAGCTAAAAGCAAAACATAGAAAGAAATAATGAAGTTTGCTGGAAATTCTATAAAGTTTTCTAATATGCTGAGAAAAAAAACAACCTCAGCATTAAAAATTACCCTGTTAAATGTTTTTAAGAATGCACAACTTCAGTGATAATAAAGATTAGATCAGATTTTTAAAAGTAAGGTATAAAAGTAAAGTATGTCAGAAAAATTGCACTTTCTGATAAAACAAACTTCCATTCATTTTATTATTTAGTAATAAAAGGAAAGGTTAAGGGGAAGAAGATGTGAAAATTGAATTTTTTGTTCACAACCGCACCCCCAGGAAATATTTCTATTCAGCTACTTTGAGACAGTTAACCAATTTTCTCCAGGTTAAGAGAATAAAACATTACACTCATATGGAGACTGTAGAAATCTCAGGAAGGTACCAAAATAGAACCAGCGGAATTATATATTGTAAGCCATTTTTAATATTTATACATAGAATAGTTTGTCCACTATGAAAATTGGTGCATAGTCTAAGCTTGCATTCAAAATTAGTGGACATTTCAATCCAAGAAATATCCTGATGGACAATAATAAATCCCCTCCCTCCCCATTATTCCATACCTAACAACTGGTGGTGAATCTGACATGCAAATGAACGTGTAACATAATTGGCCCTTTGCTGTCTAAGCCACTTTCAGTTTTGGCATGCATGCCATTGAAAACAACACTCCTTATAATACTGGTGTGTTTACTCCCTGTTCATTAATCATGTCCCAACTCACAGCTGTGCTGATACCATTGTATCAATGGCAGAGGTTCCGAATGAAATTAGATTATGTTCTTCTTTCCCCTCTGCTCCCTCATAAATCATTCCTGAAATGTGCAATTAGCAGCTACTTGTACACATTAATTATCTGTGTGAAAAGCAGATACCTGAACCACCTGCACAACTGATTAGCTCCCTCCCTTGTGTCCCACCTATGTTGCTTTCAGTCTCCAACTGCATTGTTCCTGGCCACCAATCTAGGTGGATGTTTGCCAACGGTGGCTATGCACAGATGCCAACATTAAAACCTATTCCTCTTTTTCTTGAATTACTTCTTGTCACAGTGAGCAAAACTTCGGTTCTCTAAATGGAAATATCAAAAGTTCAAAAAAAAAATCAGAAGTTTACAGTGAGATACCAATATCCATAATGAAATTCCCAATCAAATGTCTCAAAGGACACAATAAAATAGTGCAAGTTGTATGCTTCATAAATGCCTTTAAATCTATTCTTGAGAATCAAAATTGAGGACATCTAAGCACTATTTAATTTTAAGAGTTCAAGATCCCCTGTGACCTTATAATTTAATTGACATCCCACCTTTCTACAATGATAGCTTATGCAAAAATAACATCAGCCTCCATGAGAAGAAGAGAAGGAAGGAAAAAAACCCAAGCTGAATTTAACTAAAACTAACAGAAACCTACAACAGTTTATAAACAAGATGCTACAGACTGCTTAATAGATGAATACAAATATTTGTATTGTTTCCTTCCCCTCATATCATACAGCTCAGAGTCGATATATCATGGGCAGCATAGACATTTAATATATAAGTAAATAAGTAAGTAAATATCTGATACAAATCAATTTGACCTGCTTTAATTAAAAAGTATCACAATGAAGTGATATGTAAATTATATTAATAAATAAAATTATTCTCTCTTAACTATGATGTGAACAATAGATTTGGGTTGCTTTCTGTATTAAGACATTTCTAACTCACATTAACAGTGGTTCAAATTAAAGCGGATAATGAAAGATGAAGCTTTATTAAAGTCAGAAAGAGCAAAACTATTTGGAACAAGAGAACTAAATCAGGTCAGAATTATGTTACATAGATGGGCATCTTTCCCTTTAATTTCATGCCTAGTTCATTTTCATATAAGTCACTGTATATTGGTATATGCTGTGTATTTAACCACTAGTATTATCATAGCATAATATGTGATCAGGGTTTATTATAAAGTCATGTATGTATGAGGGAAAAATAAAAAGGTACATGCATAAGATACATACATGCATCATATAAAGACACATACGTGTCTTGCTTTTCTTCCTGAAAATGGATGGGAAGGAACTTCTCTGACCCTTCTGCTTTTGCTGAAATCCAGCTGCTAAGGCATTTTCCCTCACTGGCCTCACATGTATGAAATGATTTTTTCTCTCCCAAATTTTAGAAAAAATATTATTATTAATATCCAGAATATTAAAATCTTCTACAGGATATCTGGAAAACTGCTATACATTTCTCCTTTTTGTAGGCCAGGAAAGTATCTGCTTATATAACTATCCCTAAACTCCAGAGAATGCTAACCGTAACATATTTTAATGTCCTCCTTAAGGCAATTCTTATGGAAAAAGTCCATGTGCGGTAAGACTCTTGAGGAGAAGGTGTATTAAATCCATAGTCCATATCTTGATATACTGCATTTTTATAAGGATGTGAGGTTTACCTCATCACTCTTATTTAACCAAGTACCCAGACAATTCTGATTTTTTCCTCTGTGCAGCTGTTATTATCACAAGTATAATTCAGTTTTCACGAAAGCAGACAAATTTTGCTATATTGTAAAACCATGTAGATATTGATTGTATTAATGGGGTACCTAAAAACAATATTATTACGCTGTGTTTTATCTGTTGTTAATTTGCTGAATTCTAGTCAGTCTAGACCCATGGTGGCGAACCTATGGCATGTGTGCCAGAAATGGCTTAGTGAATATCAAATATAATTAGCACAGCACTGAATAGCATCAGAATAATTATATTAGAGAAAATTGTATCTTAGCACACATTTCAAATAAGTAGCTTTTGAAGCATATTTTTAAAAATGGACAGAAAAAAAAGACATTTAGATGAAGGCAGATTGCTTGTAAAATGTAAAAAAAATACAAACAGAATAAACAATGTTTCATAGAACACAATGGTAAAACATACTCATTAAGAATTCCAGTGGACATGGAAAGTTAAATAGAAGCATTGTCTTCCTGGATGAATTCAAAATATCTACAGTGTATGCATCCAGCTTCTTGGTATGTACTTTTTGTTTTGTTCTCTTGATGACAATATTCAAAAGTTGACAGAACTAAGGCTGATAGTATTGAAAATGTAAACTAATAGAGCTTTCAGCTAGTTTCAACATTTTTAATATACTATGGGTAGCTGCTTGTATAAATGTGTTGTATGTTGTATATAAGCTACTGATATTGTTGCAATACAGATGACAGATAACTGGAATACAAATATACTGGCAGCTGTTGGAGCCTACCAAATTTTCAAGTAGTAACAGGATTTTTTTTGGGTGGGGGGGCAGATGCTGGAAGCAAAATTGTTTAAAGATATTTAGTGTCAGCTGCAGGAGAAGTGTTATTAACAATTTCTGCTTTTATTGTTATGTTGTAGTTTTAATTACTAGCTCAGGCAAAAGCATCTGATTTCTAAAGAAAAAGGAAAGAAAACACTTTGAAGTTTGGTTCAATAGATGCCATGACTTAGTTGGAGTCTAAAAATGTTAAAAGCTTTTCTCTAGAAATATTGCTTCCATGTAATCCTTGTGTGGTCTTTTAATTTTGCAGCTTTAACCCTGTTTGGAGGAGGGTGGTCTATTAGGGACCTATGATGCATGGATACTATCTTTCAGGAAGGTTATTTGAATAGCTATGTCAATGAAGTTCTGAACTAGCTAAATTAAAAATTAAGCAATTACTTGGATCGGGCAAGAGTTGTAATGGTAGTTCAATGTGAAAGTTTTGATCTGTTAACAAAACCATGTGCTTTGTAATAAAACAGTAAGTCTAAAAACAGTAAGCGCAATAGATTTTTAAAAAGGATTTCCAGCTTTTTAAAAAGGGAATACAGAAATTAAAATTTTATTGGCAAAACTCTTCTAGGATCTAGTGATTAGGCAACATAGAGTTAGTTGTAAACAACAAACAAATATAAGGAAACACACTCACAAAGAAGTGTTGAGTAAGAATTAAAAGAAGTCCTGCATCACTACTGATTTCACTTAGCCACTAGGCCAGGGGTGTCAAACTCATGTCGTCATGTGACGTATCAGGACTCCCCCCACTTTGCTAAACTAGGCGTGGGTGTGGCCAGCGCATGATGCATTCGGCCCATGGGCTTGGAGTTTAACAGCTCTGCACTAGATGAACAGGGTGATTCAGCTGAAGTTATATTCTTAATCCCATTTTTTTTGTGTTTTGCCATTCTTGCTTCTTAGTGGCCCCATCACTACTGCATTCCATTTTTTATATTTTTTTTTAATGCACCCAACTCCAAGTGGAATGAATAGCAAATAAGATAGTGAAGAACATTGAAAATAACATCTCCCAAAGCAACTTAATAGACAATAAAATGGCAACTGAGATTTACAAAGGATGTAGAAATCACGATGGAAAGCTTAAAGTGTTAAGAATTCAATGTCAGGAAAATTTAATATAACTATTAAGAAAGGCTTTTAACATAAATGATCCATATCATATTTCTATGTTAATGCTGCCATATTTACAACTTTTTCTTTCTGAAAAACAAGTGGAAAAGATGCAAGAAAAAAGAATGTAATGAATAACTAGAGCACATTTCTATACAGAAAGTCATTTTATATATTTTAGCTCTCTTATTTTAATTAAAAACTCGTATATGCTTTTTCCCTATGGAACAACATACCTTCTCCAACAGTTTTTGCCTTGTGCCAAGTACTAAAGACTTGGTTGATCTCTTGGGCATTTGTGCTGGGATGTGAATCAACCCTTTTTGGTTAATTTGGCTGTTTTTTCTTATTATTTGTAAAATAGAGCCATTTTTTCAGACCTCTGGCT